GATGACATATGTTGTGAAGTGGCTCTATATAAATAAACTGAAATTAATACTAAGATAAATGTATGGGTGAGTTGTATTTATACCCAAACATGGGGCTATGGTAACAAATGGGACATGATGTCTGTACCTGTAATATAGGCATATACCAGCATGTATAGTTTGAACTAATAGGAAAATTCAAGTTCAACTTTCAACCAATTAGGGCAGCACTAACACATATTTTAGACAAACATTGTAGAACTAAAAAAAGCATTAACATGCAGATAAATGCTCAAGGACATTAAAATAGCACCCTGTAGACCTGGTTTATACTGCAAAAAAAAAAAAAAAAGAAGGTGTTTTGGGGTGAGTTACACTTCAACAATCACCCACACACAGTCTAAAGATGAAGAACGGGTGTAATATTTACTTAATTGTGTAACTTAACTGAGATTAAATAAAAAAACATGCTGCTGTTATATGAAAAGGCAACTACTGCTGGCTTGGGTGAAGTCCACTTCCAAACAACATCTGCCTGGGTTGTGCTTTTGTTTTTCTATGGCCTCTTTTCAATCACTTTGCACCATTCAATTTTCTGCATGGACCTGTGATATACATTAAGTGTAATTTTAAGTGAGTATTGCTGTGTTCAATTCACAGTCATCCTCAGAGTGAATGACCAAGTGTCCTCTTTCTTTGGGCTGCAAAAGACTTTTTATCTCTTGACCCATAAAATGACACAGTGTCCCAGATTTTGACTGGCTCCAGTTTAAAACAAACAAAATATATATGATGCAAAAGAAGCATGAGAACTATTCATTACTTCTCTACAATTATGTCCACAGATATCTTTATCACTCTAGTACTACTTTACTACTTGGAGTAATTGGTCAGGAAATGAGGGAAAAAAAGGATGCTTTTGTTGTGTTGCTATTGAACACTTTGATAAGGTTGAAGGCAAATTTTTATTATTTGTTTCAAGTAGTAACATTTCATTTGAACCCATTTGGTGAAGATTAGGTTTAGACTTGTAAAAGACTAGGATTAGTAGTATTTCTATTGCCCAGGAAGTCTTGTACTAAAAACAAAAACATATTCTGATAAACAGCAGCTGAGTTCAATCTCAGGTCAAAATAACAATGGTATAAAATTATAAGAAAATATATAATAATATTTCTTTAATAAATCAAACATTCAGTAAGTAAATACTTGGTGCAAGAGATGTGATTGACTATGTTGCTAGGGGCAACGTCAGAGCTGGAGGATTTAAATGCTGTAATCAAAATACTGAATAAATAAATATTCCATAAATAATACCTTACTCAACTGCACACTTTAGTTTAATTAAGCAATTTTTGACAGCAAGCAACAGTCAAGTATTTCATTTTATGTTAAGTTGCACATTTGCCTTTACCAAAAAGCCTTTTTTTTTTCTTTAATTTTTTGTTGTTGCTGTCTTTACCCTGGTGTAGATCTATATACTTGCATTTTCGTTTCACTTGCTACCAGGACAAGTGACTTTCCAAACAAAGGCTAGGTCTTTTTCGAATACAGTAAATATAAAGAAGATGGAATTAACTATTTAAAAAAAAAAGTTTTCAGCATGGGAAATAATCATGTTAGAAAAGTCAATGTTTTTATGAACAGATAACACTCAGCATCGAGAACTTGTTTTCTATTACAATCTTCGCCAACCTCTGTCATTCTTTCATCAATTAAACATGGACATCAGGCACAGGCATTAAGGGCAAATAGATGCCATCCAGCTACTTATATTCTATGCATGAATGCCTTAAATTTAAAAATAATGCCACACTGAATATTGCATCTAAGTAGTCCTTTGTGGCTGCAATCTGGCAGACACTGATATTGCTGTGAGGATTGTAATTTGATAAACCATGCAGCTCTGCACTCAGAAAATGGTTTAAACAAGCTTGACTTCTTAGCATCTTTATTTGGCTGTATCTGGCCACAAACAATGTTTTTATAGGACATCATGGGTTTGGAGGAAAACATTTTTTTTAGTTATTGTCTTTACCCTGTTACAGATTTAAGTATAAGAGACAAAAACACACATTTAAACAATAATGCAAGTTATTAGTAAAAAACAAAAAATCTGCATTTCAATTGCCAACATAGCTCATAGCTAATTACCTAAATTTGTTTATTCATACTTAGAGACCTCTAATTTTCCGCATGACACATGGAGCAGTAAGACAGGCTTGTCTTTTGCATGGATGCACCAAAACGCTCGAGGCAGAGAGTCTCAGGTTCAAGGGTGCAGAACATGTTAGATGTTGTAGTTCTCCACAGAGACTTTCAGGGTTATAGGAGCTTCTTTCCCTAAAACCTTTCATTGGATTTTTTCGGGCATTCATCTGCAAAATAACGGTTTCTCCTTTATCTTTGCTTCACCAGCTACAATTTATTTTAAACAATGAAAAAAATGCTAAGGCATTTTAACAGTTCTGTCAAATTAGTTATCATCAAGGTAAAATTTTCAACAGAACAATAAATACACACATCTGAACTTAACAGTTGAAGACCAGATATAACAAATAACAGAGGGTCTCTCGCTGTGTAAGCCAAACTGGTAATGATGTTTGATAATGAAAATGGGCAAGCATGAAATAACATGAAAAAGGCCACTGATGTTTATATCTCACAGGCTAACTGACTGCAGCTAGATGTTTCAGAAATATCATGGCAAAGTACTTGCTTTATTTGGTAAGCCACTTCACACTGTCCTGAAATTAGAGCAACATTTTCATACATTTTAAACTTTGTCATACTTTGCCACATTTAAGCCACAAACCAGAATGCATTTATTTTGGTTATATGTAATAAACTAAATGGGATGCATTATTCTGAACTGGGGGCAAATGATCCATTGTTTTAAATGTAGTTTTCATACATAAAATCCCACAAGATTGCAATACAAATGGTTTCATTTAAGACTTCTAAAAAAAAAACTAACAACAGTGAATTGCTTTTAAAAGTCACCTATTAGGGTTAACAGAATCTAATTCTAAATGTCTAAACTGTATCACCTCAGCTTCTCCATCATAAAAAAAACGAACGCAAAAAATAGTTCAGGCAGAAGTTCTGAGCTTTATAGAAGAAGGGAAATGAAAAGCAGTTGTTAAACGAAAGTCATCCTGCTTGCAGTTTTACACAAGCCAAGTACAGCAAACTGGAAAACACTTAAGAGGTTCTCTCTCTAGCTTCCTGGTCCAATTGCATAACACTGTGTGAGGCAAACAATAACATAAAACATCACTCAGCATTGTGCTGTGGTGATGATTTTCTTTGGCCGGGACAGGGACAATGGTTAGAATTTAAAGAGAGGTGGGTGAAGCTAAATTTGGGGGAATCCTAGGAAAAGAAAAAGTGTCGGAGTGCAGCAGACTTGAGGTTTGGGATAAGCTTCACCTCTCTGTGAAACAACTGTCCAAACCATACAAACAACAGTGGAATGGATCAGGTTTAAGTAACTCTCCTTCTAAATAACAACAACTTTATTTGCAGCAGCAAGCATTCAAGTTGCATGCATGTACAACGTAAACTTTAGAATATGCGATTTCTGTGTTTTTGAATTCACTTTAGTGTATTCAGTTTCTGGGAAATTGTCAACAAAGAACATTAAAAATTCCCTATTTGTGTTTTTTTTTCATATGTTATTGGTCTTGCAACATTTAGGTTATTCTGTTAAGCAACAGACAGCAGTACCCTTAAAAGGCTTATGCTTTAGGTCTTGCAGCTCTTTGCATCAGCATCCACATTTTGATTTGACGTTTTTGCACACACTGATCGGGCCATAAGCCTGGGCCCTACGCCCCTTATGTTCTCAACTCCCTTTTTTTTTTTGTCTCTCTTCTGCTGTGCAGACTAGCCAGCACAAAGCTAATTGGATCATTTAAATGTCAGCAACAGTGAGATCTACGAGGGAGAAAAAGAAATCTTTTCCATCACAGCTGTGTCCTTCTAGTCTCCAAAGGTTTTTATCATCAGTGTCCAAATTGTGCATTTGGATGTATTTACCTGTCCTTCTTTTCAGCAATTCTAAACAACATTTTGTGGTTTCTGGAACCAGATGGGAACAGTATATTTAAACACAGAGGAAATGCAAACACTGTGTTGTCTTTCAGTATAAACAAGTCATCTACACAACATTTCTCACAGATTATTCCCTGCTGTTTCTTAAGTTTTGGATTTATATTTCGGACATAAGTAAACTTGTAGCACCTGTTTGGCACAAGGATGCAGGGTGGACCCGAGGCTCATTCATCACTCTTTATGAATGAGGCTGCAGCTGAGCACTCAAAGCAAACAAATAGCTCAGCAATGTTTCGTTTTTTTAACTATGTAATCAAACCAGACGGATGCTGGATATTACCAACAAACTGTAGTACACCCACACTCTTTCTCTTTTTAACTGAACAGTCAGAGGCGTTGGGGTGATGAAAGAAAGCAGACACAAGGAAGCTGCAGAGGGAGAATATAACCACCCATATTATTAATAAAAATACAGAAAGCCCTGGAATTGGGGTGAAATGAAAGCAGGATGCACGGCAAGGTAAAACAGAGCATACATGCAAAGTTTTATGTTATACAAACTACGTTCAATCAGCAAAATTGTAAATGCACGTTTAATGGGTGAATTCCTGAAGGGATGTTTCATATGCACCTGTAATAACACTGCACAGGACGAGGTCTGTGGTATTTCCCAGGCATTTTTCAAATGATGCAGAGAGGGTGCAAAATAAAAAAGAAAACATCTTAATCCAGAGGTTATCGGCTGTATCTGTTTTATCCGTCTCCATAATTATCTCCGGTGACACCCTGTAGAGGATCAACGCGCAAACTGCGCTCTCTGTGGAAACCCGCCTGACACATGGCGCAATATCCCAGTAGATTCATTCCCATCCATCCCTGACATGCACCATCTCCTATCAAGCAGAGCTGCAGTACTCAGCTCTATACGATGCACTTCTAATTCATCATTTTCGAAAATATCTTACCATTTTCTCCACATGTTTCTAATGGAACTGCTGCGCGCTGGAGATGAATCCACCCTCCCTGGGCTGTGACTGAATAGGATTCCTGGCGACACAACTTAATAAAAACAATGGGAAATAAAATAAAATATTTATGTTCGCAGACTGAGTTAGAGTTTCTTTCAGCGCAGATCTTAAAATAAGGAAATACTGTCTCGGTGTCTATTTCGAAGGATGCATCTGCCCCGCTGATCGCTTCGCCCTCCACGCAAGAATGCGCTGCGCATTTCAACTAAGTCCCTCTGTCTCCTTCTCTCAGCCTCCCTCTCTCCCTTCATCCACACAAACAAACTCTCTCTCACACAGAGACACAGACACCTTCTCACATGCGCGCAAAGGAGGCAGAAGCACAGAGCAATACTGATAGATGAATGGATGATTCAAGCGCAGCGGGTTCGATTATCTATTTTCAGCAGATTTATAATGCAGAGCTGACTGTGTGTGGTCCCGGTGATCACCAAATCACGGCCCATAAAAGATAATCATAAGGATTTGAAGGGCGCCTTGCAGGGAAAGTTGAAAGTATGTGGCAGGGGAGATGTTTTACTAAAGATGACCAGGTGCATCTAAATTATATCCACTTAAATTCTCTATATATGTATAAGTATATATATGATATATGGTTATGGTTTGTGCAGAAAACTGGGAAACTGACCTACTTTGTATACATATATATATATATATATATATATATATATATATATATATATATATATATATATATATATATATATATATATATATATATATATATATATATATATATATATATACATATACATTATGTCAGTTTCCCAGTTTTCTGCACACACCATAACCTGTTCACAGAGAGCTGTCTATGGAAGAGCTGTTTGTAACGTTGAGTAGAAGAAAAAACTGTGGCTGATGGTCTAGTAGTAGAGATACAGCGATGAAAATAAGTGCTTAGGCACCCTGCTATTTTTGCAAGTTCTCCCAATTAGAAATCATGTAGGGGTCTGTGCATGTCCACTGTGAGAGACATAATCTAAAAAAGAAAAATCAGAAATCACAAAGTATTATTTAAAACTATTTATCTGTATGATACAGCTGCAGATAAGTATTTGAACACCTGAGAAAATCAATGTTATTATTTGGTTTATGGCCTTAGTTTGCAATTACAGAGGTCAAATGTTTCTTGTAGTTTTTCCACGAGGTTTGCACACACTGCAGGAGGGATTTTGGCCCGCTATACTCCACAGTACTCTCAACAGCTGTCGCTGAGAAACATAGAGTTTCAGCTCCCTCCAAAGATCCTCTATTGGGTTTAGGTCTGGAGACTGCCAAGGCCATGCCAAAACCTCGACATGCTTCTTACAGTGTGCTTAGTGTCATTGTCACATCACTCACACACACACATTATATATATATATATATATATATATATATATATATATATATATATATATATATATATATATATATATATATATATATATATATATATATATATAAAGACTGGGCAATCAAATACCATAAAGATACTCGAAACATGACAAACAAGCATACAAGAAGGACTTCTAATGCAAGCAAAAAAAGCTAGGAGAATGATAAGTAAGGTGACAAATGGTCACACTTAGAGGTCTGCAGGAAAGAGAGGCCTGGGCCTGAATGTTATAAATCAAATATTACACTGCACTTATTTACCTAATGGCATACAAAGGAAATGCCTTTTGAGGCACGTCATTACAGAAATAATTAAGTCCCAATCAATAGCTCATTTTTCATTGAAGAGTTTCTTTTCTATTCTGTCTTGTTGTTTCCGTTTTTGTTTTAAAATTTTGCATACATAATGTATATGTGTGCCTACTAAAGAAAATGTGTTATGCTAAATGATGAATATAAAGATCCTTTGTTTTTTTGTAAATATTCAGAATTTTCTTTGTAGATGTTCAATTGCAAATTCTGCAAATTTGTGCTTAAGTTCAACTTTATTATGAAACCCTCGAGCTCCTGCCAGTAATTGGATCAACTACAAACATGAACTATGAAAGTGTTTTGGTCAAATAAACTGACAGCTTTGGCAACAAACCCTGTGGAATACTTCAAAAAGGACTTATATCGGGTAAAAGGCAGTATAACCACTTTTAGGAAAGTTGTAGGTTCTTGGGACCTTGTTAGAGTGTGATATAAGATGAACTGAATAAAATTAAACATTTTATAACAGATTTTTATGGCCTTTGTTAGAAAATTTAAAAATGTCTCATTATGGGTGATCAGCACGATAATGATTCCCACTATTTGACCGAATCAAATGAGAAATTGTATATTAGACATAAAATTAACTTATGTAGAAACAGGTAAACAGGAAAAAACAAGCCCATAGAAGAGGACCCATATATCCAAATGATGGGCAGACAAAAAAAAAAACAATAATAAACAATAAATAATAGTATTCCGAATATATTTAATTTTGATTTTCAATCTGATATTTATCTTCTATAGTAAATTAACCCTGTCGCATCTTGGGTCCCAACAGTCACTAGACCTTGTTGACCAGATGCATCAAGTAATTTTCACTGCGGAGAACTGTATGGCTTAACTTTCCTAATTAAAATCATGATTAACGGATTTGAAATAAGAAATGGAAATGATTATTATGACTTAAAAACTTTCCAGTCTTCTCAGTTTAAACCTACGTTAACCTGTACTTCATCCACACTGCCAGTCTATACTCAGTAGCATATTGCTTGTTTTAGAGAACTTCCCAACATTGCTGTAATGTTTAAGCAGGATTATGGGAAGCAATAAATAAAATGTCAGTAGATCAGGAAATGCGTATCTATTTCCAACAGGGAAGTAAAATGAGTTTCAAAGCTCTGGTGTGACAAAGAGTCTGTCACTTTTCTGCTCTTTAACCTTTTTGTAGAGAAGCTTAGAAGACAAAACAGAGGAAACTTCTAGCAGGTTTTCAGGAGTAGAAGCCCGGGTATTTTACAAATTTATACAGTATACTAATGCATTTCGTGTGTAGTAATTTTATTTACAGAGAGTTTGCTCTAACTTCAAACTAGCGGTCTAACTAACTACACTCCAGGCACTAAAAAAATCCACAATCTGTCTTCTGTTTCTTTTTTTTAATTTTCAACCACAGTAAAAGCTGTGAATTCAATTTTAATTTTAGTTCCAATTCTACAGTCATCCAGTCCTCCTACACAGCGTGGAGGGCTGACTCAAACACCTCAGGTGTGCCTTTATCTCCCACCCTGAGCTGAACAGCAAAAGAACAAATATTCTGTTCTTTAAAAAAAATTAATAAAATACATACAAACAGCTGCAACTGATTGCTTTTGATTCTATTGTGATCTATTTGACACAGTGACATCATCTGTAATCTATCCATGTTTGATATCTAAAAAAAAGAGTAGAAATGAGCTGTATGGGGTTGCCATGGCAACTGAGCAAGGGGATGTGGAGTGTTGCTTGAGGCAAGGGGTGATTGGGGATGCTGGGGCGGAGGTAGTGGGTGTAAGGATGTATGTGTACGTACCGGGTGAGAGGTGGGGGCTGGTGGTCAGCTGGGGGGTGGATTAGCTGACCAATAAGAAGAGAGCAGAGTAAGAAAAAAAAAACTATTAATAGTAAGAGTCAAAAAGACATACAAACCATAATTGACACAAAGTCTTACTCAGCTAGGAGGATTCCTAGAAAAAAGAAAAGATAAACAGGAAAGGGGACCCTGTCGGGGGGGGGGGGGGGGGGGGGGTGAGCATGTTCAAAACAGGAATTAAGAGAATAACTATAAACTATTGAGATCTAGATCATTCAGAATGGCTGTTTCCAGATATTGACAAGATTCAAATACGCTGATCAATAACCACAGGAGGGCCATGAGTGGAAAAACAACAAGAAAAACACAGAAGAAAGTGTGATAAATGAATACTCTAATTGGTTGTTCTTCATAGGTTTAGCTGCAGACTGGGGTATCTCAAAGGGAAGAAGCAATAAAAGGCTGAGTGAAATCTAGGGAAGTGGTGAAGCAATATAAACATAAATTCTGGGATAAAAAAGGTAAAATGCAATTGAGTTTTAACAAAAGCGTCAAAGTTATTCATCCCTGCTGTTCATTTTTCTGACATTAATGCAAGCTACTAAGAGATTTCTTTTTTATGGTAATACCTTGACTTGTTCCAAGTTGCTTTGTGGCCAAACCATCCAAACAGCACAAAAGCCCACACAGGAAACCATTATCTCACAGTTAGTCCATCATTTATAACCAAGTATATGCCAAGTCTTCTCTGTAGAAACACCAATCCCAGCTTCTCGGTTGAAATACACTAGTTTAATATAAATGCTCAATATGCACACTGTTGTTAGTCAGTGGGTGGCATCTTTCATAATTTTTCTGTTACCACAGAAAATGGTGTGGCTTTATATGCTTCAAACAAAATAAACAAAACCAGAATTTATCTTAAAGCCTCCTACACACTCTAAAAAGGAAATGCTGAAAATAAAAATTAAGTGGGGCAAAATTAATCCTCTTAGTTTTTACCATTTGTAATAATTAATTTAAGTTCGAGCTGCATTTTCTTGATGCTTCACTTTCCTTACAATCTGTATGAATGTCAAGAATGAGAACGAACATCCCCAAAAAGAACTGCTTATCAGAGCAAAAAATTAGAGATGATAGATCAATAGTCATGGGTGACAGCGGGAACATATAAACAATACAATATAATTCCAAATGAATCAAACTTCTAAGAAATGACACTGTCCACTAATGAAGCAGCACTGATTCACCATCAGTTTAGCAAGTTGTTGTGCAAATGGAATAGACAACAGGTGCAAATTATTGGCAATTAGCTAAACCAGCTCAACAAAAGCAGTGGTACTGTAGGTGGGGACCACAGACCACTTATCTGTACCCAGGCTGTCTGGCTGATGTTCTAGTCACTTTTTAATGTTGGTAGTGCTTTCACACTCGTGGTAGCATGAGACATATACTACCACCCACACAAGTGGCTCAGGTAGGGGCTCTCATCCAGGATGGCACATCAATGTCAGCTGTCGTAAGAAGCTTTGCT